GACCTACAAACAATGTTTAATCCAATGACCAGGTTTGTTTTGACCTTCAATGAAAAAAAATAAAAAATGGGGTGCTAACTTTTGCTCGAAAAAGTTTTTAATTAATAAAAAAATAACTATTGACTATCAAAGCGAATTGATCGAATATCAATGAACTTCAATAGACCTTCAAAGGGCCCGACTGGAGAAACTGATCAATTTTTACCTATGTGGAATTAACTACCTGGGGCCCTAAATAATAGGCCGTACCCATGAAGAATAGAGTTTCTTCATGGCCGTACCCATGAATAAGACAGAGCACGAGGTCGAGAGTATCGATAACGGCGTAGGCGAGGTAGAGGTAACGTAGGAAGTCTTTACCGGCGGAAAATAAGTGGGGAACAACGAAAATAACCGCGCTGCTAGAAACCGAGTGACTCCTACACCGTTATCGACATTCTGGACCTCGTTATGCTCTGCCTTATTCACGGGTACGTCCTCTGATTTAGTTCCATAGCCACCGCTACGACATTCGCTGTTGAACATTTAGCATAAGCGCTGCTAATCTTCCCTATAATCCCTGGTTTTATGTCAACATATGGACAGCCTTTTATCCAAAATTCACGATTTTTACATTTTTACCGCCGTATCATTAGCGCACTAATTCATGGGAATCATTAATTAACTTTTCAAATAATTTGGAAAAAATTTGGGGAAATTTAGGGAGTAGATTTCATAATTTGGGGAGATCTAGTTAATTAATTATTTATTTTTTAAAATTGAAGCGTATAGTTAGCGAAAATTCCTCGTTTTTTATTTTTCTAAATTGGGAATTGCATATTATCATTTGGGGAATCGATTTCGGTAGATTTTATCATTTGGAGAATTGATAAAGAGTTGATAATTGATAAATTAAGAAATTAAATCAATTTTCAGGCCTGCGCATACGCGCATGCATACCCGTTCCATCCTTCGTCATCGGGCACACTAATAAATGGAAATCATTAATTACCTAATGAAATAATTAAAGAGTATTTTAAGGAAAGGTAGGGAGTAAGTTTCCGAATGAGGGGCGATCTCGTTAATTAATTATTCATTTTTTTAATTAAAGCGTATAGTTAGCGAACATTTCTCATTTTGTATTTTTAAGTTGGGAATTACGTAGAATAATTTGAGGAATTGATAAAGAGTTGATAATTAATAAATTAAATAATTACATCAATTTCTAGCCCTGCGCATGCGCGCGTCTACACCCGTTCCTTCCTTCGTTATCGACACTCGTTTAAAAAAAGTTGAATATTATTCATAGAAAACTTTTTAACTAATTTTATAGAGGATAAATCCAGCAGCAACCGAATATGAATCAGAAAGCAAACTTCGATCACTGAGTTGTCGAAATAGCGAAATAGCGATAAATTGGATTGTGATTTATTTTCAATTTTTATCGTTTTTCCTTGTAAAAACATTGTAGAGACATGAAAATTAGGGGAAAATTGAATTCAAAGAAAATTCACACAACGTCATTTCCTAAAGACAATACTAGTCAATTAGAGTGGAAATGATTCTTCCGGGGCACGCGCCCGGCTGGAAATTGATTTAATTATTTAATTTATTAATTATCAACTCTTTGTCAATTCCCCAAATTATGAAATCTACAGAAATCGATTCCCCAAATGATTTTATGTAATTTTCAACTCAGAAAAATAAACAAGTAGGCGACAACAATTATGTCATTGTGGAGGATTTAACGAAATGTATAGGTATATTTTTTTGCCATCAATAAATTGACGGCGGGCTTCCGAATGATTTTAACAATATATTTTTCCTCGTCAGGTTGGATCTATTATGAATGATAAATGGTCGTAACAATTAAGCATCTATTAGACTAAAATTTTCAAATTTAAAAAACGAATTGGATCCTGATATTCTGAGCTATATAATCATTTTACACTAAAATTTGAATATCTATAAAACCAATTGTTCAATTAAGCTCATTTTTCATACTAACCATTGTAGGGATAAACGGACGATTTCGTCGAAATTTGCAGTCTTAATAGCTTGATTTTTGTGCGGATGAAAGAGCGAACAACATTTCTTTTTCAATAACATAAAAGTGTCATATAACTATGATTACTTACAGGATGCATTTTCC